ATGGATGTTCTCACTATGACATTTGCAAGAGGATGTACCTTGGTGTATGCTTTTTGCTGATGATATTCTTCTTGTTGATAAGACTAGAGAGGGAGTTGAAGGTAAACTTGAATTATGGAGGTCAACCTTAGAGTCTAAAGGTTTTCGCTTGAGTAGATCTAAAACGGAATATATGGAGTGTAATTTTAGTAGTAATAGACCTAGTGAGGGGATTGTGACTTTGGTCGATCAAGTCATTAATAAGAATACACGTTTTAGATATCTTGGATCTATTGTTCAGAGTGATGGTGAAATAGATGGGGATATTTTCAGCAGAATTCAAGTTGGATGGTTGAACTGGAGGAATGCATCGGGCTTGTTATGTGATAGAAATGTACCCCTCAAACTTAAGGGAAAATTCTATAAGATGGTAGTGAGGCCTGCAATGCTTTATGGTGTCGAATGTTGGCCATTAAAACAGAAGCATAATACTAAGTTAAGTGTGGCAGAGATGAGGATGCTCAGGTGTATGAGTGGCTTTGCCCTTAGAGATAGGATACGAAATGAGCATATACTTGAAAAGGTTGGAGTAGCTCCAATAGAAGATAAGATTAGAGAGAGTCGCCTTAGATAGTTTGGTCACATAAAACGGCGGCCTTCCGATGACCCGGTTAGGAGAGTAGAGGTATTAGATTTGACTTATGTTAAGAAAGGTAGGGGTAGACCTAAAAAGACTTGGTTAGAAAATATTAGGAATGACCTTTCTTTATTAGATTTAAACGAGAATTTGACTTTTAATAAGGACACAATGGGAAAAAAGGATTCATGTAGCCGACCCCACGTAGTGGGATAAAGGCTTCATGTTGTTGTTGTTGTTGTTGTTGTAGAGTTTTTGCTCACGAATGATTTACTCAATCCACAAGTAAAAGTACCTATTTAAAGTGAATTTTAAAAATCTTTCTATATTTGCAAATCAAATTCCCTATAAAACTCATGTAATAAGATTCTAGTTCTTTTATTTGGGATGATTTAGTCATGAATAAGATTCATCCTACTTTCATTAATTTGTTAAAGGATGAATCAAATGCTATTAGGATGTAATCCGTTTTTTAGTTATTAATGAAGCATTTTCTGCTTTTCTTAAAAAAAAAATTCCCTATAAAACTCTAGGGCGTTTTTTTCCTCTCATTTTTTTTACATTATGGAATTTATACTCATGTAAATATTAGACTGTTGTCAATGGAGAGCTTACTTCTCTTTATTAATTATGTGGATGTCCATTAAAAATTTTATAAAGCTCCAGCATATGACACTTTATTGTATTGTGGTTTTTTCTTTCAAGCTAACAATCTAAAGAGCATTTTCATCATCTTTGAAGCCATCTCAGGTCATATAATTAAATTCTTAAAATCATCTTTGATCTATCTTGGCAAAACTCACAGGCTGGGTGCTCAGATAACCAACACTATGGGTTCTTCTCCTATATCCGTTTCATTTACATTCTCAGGCATTCCTGTCTTTTCCACATATATATATATATATATATATTGCTTTAAGGAATCCTCTTATTGAAAAGATTCAATTGAAGCTTTTATCTTGAAAAGGTTTTCTCTCAAAGAAGGTAGGATTGTGCTTATTAATATAATTCCCCTCCACAACACTTTCTTTTTGGTTCTCAATTGGATAATTAAAAAGATAGATCGTATTTAAAAGGATTTTTTCTTAGAAAGGCAAAGCAACAGGTAGAGGATTTAATCTTATCAACCATAAGAATTTTTGCAAGCCTTAAAAGAAAAGTGATCATGGTATTATAGACTAACGTGCTGAACGTCCCTTTCATTATCAAATAGATTTGGACGTATATTCAGCTCAAAATATGGTTCCTTTGTTGAAGACATCATTCGAGATAAGTATTTTAGCAATCTGGCCTGTTCAATTTCTAGACTAACCATGTTTCTCATTGCTATGATTTTATTATAGGTGTTAGTAAAGCTATTTATTAATTTTTTCTTATCAATTAGATGATTCCTAATGGTGAAATTATTAACTTTTTTATGGATAAATGACAGTTTCCTTGCTGTTCAATTTAAAGACCTTTCAACATTTGTCATGAAAAATAATAATTTTGTTACTTTATATTTTATTCCAGAGCTCATATGGCAAAGCTTGGAAAGAGATTATTCCTCATCACCAAAGCAATAAGAAGGAACTGCTTTACTTTCTCATCAATTGAATTAATATCGAAAAAAACCCGTTCATCTCTTTTTCCAACCAATGGAACATTCCCGACTAACTATTTCTAATCTTTCTTGATGGATAAAGATGTTCGTAATCCCGGAGGTTTTTCGATTTCGAGAAGTACTGTTCCTCTGATGCGACCAAAAAATATAGGAGACCCTATATCTCTTGATCACAAAAGACATACGGACTTCTACCGACGAAAATGACTAAAGATGAGGAAGAGGGACGAACAAACTCTTACATTTCAAATTAAGAAATAAAAAAAAATTAAAAACACAAACTCGACTCGATCTCAAAGACACCCTAAAGTTGCTTCACTGTTGAGAAGAAGGATACAGGTGGATTGACACTTGCGGAGAGACGAAAGAGGTTAGAAGCCCGAGAAGAAAGGGTGGAAAGAGCCCGTAGGATTTCCGGAGGGGATGAGAAAAGAAGGGTGGAAAGAGCCCGCGGGATTTCCAAAGCAAACCCGTAGGTTATAGCTTCCAAAAATAACTTATCATTCAACTTCATAACTATTTCAAACATTACAAGTCCCCCATATATATATGTATGAAAGGGAATACAAAGAGACACATTACATTAATTTTAACACAAGAAACTAAGCATCAAAAGCATTAAACCCAAATGCTTTTCACGCAAAAACAGCCCAAACCAAGAAACCGAAGAGGTAGCCGCGGGAGCCAAGGAGGCCGAGCGGGAATCAAGGGGGCACGGTCACGGGAGGGAGCACATGCACGGGAAACCAGCAGCCGGCCGGAATCCAAGGGGGCAAAAGCATATAAAGCCATGGTGGATTTCAAGGAGCCACTATGGGAAGACTAAACAAATAACTTGGGATTCCAAAAGCCCTTTTTGGAAACCCAAGAGACAACTTTAAGACATTAAAACTTAAAACATAAAAATACATTTAATAAAAAGATAACTATGAACTAAAATCATAGCTAATAATGAGCTATATTTTAGTTCCATTTAATGAACTAAAATCCAACTCATAAATGAGCTAAAATTCCAGCTCAATTTTGATTGAGCCACTAGACTCAAGGGAAGCCAAATTTGATTTATTTTGGACTCGTGTTGACCCCCCCTTTGTCTACATCAAGCCCCCCCCCCCCCCCTTTGTCTACATCATCCTCTCAAAACAAAAATGCTTGGATGGATTGATTATATAAGGAAAATTCCTAACAATATCTCTTCAGTTAACTATGTATGAAGTGCAATCATAATTTCGAGAATGATTTCCATATCTTCTTCAGTTGAAGCATACTTTTATATATATGGAGGAAGTTCTATAACATCTTTGGAGTCTCTGCCCTATGTTGATGACATGGACTTAGTTGCATCCATTTGGATATGAGTTGATCAAATAAGGAATTTCAAGGTCTTTGGGATCTTTTCTCGTCTCCTATTAGTATCATTTGGAGTAACTTGTTGATGACATGGACTTAGTTGCATCCACTTGGATATGAATTTATCAAGAAAGAATTTTGAGGGCATTGGAGGATCTTTTCTTGTCTCCTATTAGTATGATTTGGAGTGAAAGGAATTATAGATTCTTTGTAACAAGAGAAAAGATGGAAATATCCTTTCGTTTAAAATGATTAATCTGCCATATTTTTAGATCAATGATACAAATGGGCGAGAAGATCAATAGAATCAATAAAAATAAGAATGATATTCACTTTCCAACTAGCCTTTTACCTAGAACAATTGGATATTTCTATTTCTTCTCTTTTAAATTAGGCGTTCCTTTTTTTTTTTAACCTTGTATTCTTATTTGTAACTTTTATTTCTAATGGTAAGAAGGGTTCGACCAGCATGCAAATGTACAAAGGAAGATATCACGAACAACGTCAAAAAAAGGCAGAAGACCAATAGTTCAACCTGAATAATATCTAATAGCTATAAGCATTACCCAAACCCAAATTACACTGTCAATCCTAGGGGCTTCGCTTCTTTTTCAAGGAAAAAAGAAAAATATAATTAATATGTCAATGGCAATCCTACACAACCATAACATATTATCTTCAACACATTGATTAGATGCTAATTTCATATTAGTTCAATAACGAATGGGTAAAATAAGGCAGAGGACTCCAAGAGAACCACGGAAGGAGTTATACAACAATAACATCAAGCCTTTGTCCCACTACGTGGGGTTGGCTACATGAATCCTTTTTCGTCATTGTGCTCTGTTAAAAGTTAAATTCTCATTTAAATCTAATAAAGAAAGATCATTTCTAATATTTTCTAAGTCTTTTAGGTCTACATCTACCTTTCTTAATATAAGTTAAATCTAATACCTCAACTTTCCTAACCGGGTCATTATAAGGCCACCATTTAGTGTGACCAAACCATCTAAGATGACTCTCTCTAATCTTATATTCCACTGGAGCTACTCCAACATTTTCACATATATGCTCATTTTGTATCCTATCTCTAAGGGTAAAGCCACTCATCCACCTAAGCATCCTCATTTCTGCAACACTTAACTTAGTATTATGCTTCTCTTTTAATGGCCAACATTCGGCACCATAAAGCATTGCAGGTCTCACCATCATCTTATAGAATTTTTCCTTAAGTTTGAGGGGGACTTTTCTATCGCACAACAAGCCCGATGCAATGTGACAGAAGGTTTGGCAGTGACAAACGCCTAGATTTGGGTAAATCTATACAATCATTGTTAATTTAGAATGACATCTAGACCACAAAAACTTAAGCCCTACTCAAATAAGCACATTTTATTTAACAGAAAAAGCATTTCCAATAAAACCTCATACCGCATTGCTAGTAACATAAATGACTGGACTATCGTCAGGGCCCCATCCATACTGAAGGACCATGCGTGTAGCTATCTGCAATTACATCATCAGTTTTGCAATACCAAAATAAATTTTTCAATCAAAAACAGTACATTGCAGAAAACAAGTGCAATTTATGAAAAGGAAGATAAACCTCTTGAGCAAGTTTAGTCTCAGATGAGGATAAGAAATTCTCTTCCCCAAAAGGTAGTAATAGCTGCGCTGCAACACATGAGCCAAAGCAGAACACCAGCTTCTTCTCAAGATAAGACCTCGACTCTAGATTTCCCTTTAAAGAGCTTTCACCTCTAGCCTTTGTAATCTTTGTGCATCCAATCCCCTAGAAAAACTAAATATTTATAAGTTTTGCAACAAATAGGAACGGCTTCAGTAATGAAATTCAGCATCTAAGAAGAAAAAAAAACTTGATTTTGACAATGGTCAATGCATGCAGTGACGACAGAGAATTGCAGTGATACAGTACAAATCTCAAATTTGACAAGCAAAGAGACTATGTCTATGCTATCCCATAAGCACAAAAACCAAGGTTATTATTTCCCATTGTTTCTTTATGCATTCAAAATAAGTACACCAAAAGAAAAGGTATAAGTAGAGAAAGAAAAAGACACTTTTCCTTCCTTCCAAGTTGTTCATCTTTTTTTTTTGGATGGTGTTCAAACTAGGGGCAATCCAAGTCGGCAATCCACGGGATTTAGGTTTCCTCCGTGGAACTACTACTAGTATGAAATTGTAACTCTACTATATACATACATACTTTCTTAGTTCTACAAAATTGGAATGCATATTAGTGTATGTTTTTTTTTTCTTTCTTTGTATTTGATTAGGAGTGACTCTTTTCCTTTCTTATTGTTTTATCCTTATATAAATAAAGGTTGAAAAGTGGATGGCTATACAAAAGAAATAATAAAAAGAATTGAATCCTCCATTCTTCACATTCCACTCCACTTTAGCTTTCTTCTTTCATAAAGATGGTAATCTTCAAAATTTCTACTACACCCTCCAAAGATACAATCGTACTTGTTAATAATGAATAAAATACCATAGCACAAAGGTATAATGGAGCCATAGTGCATCACATTATGTTTTAAAAATAGTGCAATATATTGAAAAAAAAAACATAATAATTTAATAAAGATTCAACATGACAAGCGAAACTAATATAATTCAAAAAGATTTTATCAACTTAAATAGAATATAATACTACTTAAAAATATTTAAAATGTACACTAAGGGGTAGTCCAAATTTACTAATATCATATAAATTTCACAGCATTATTATAAGCATAAATTGAGGGAATAGAGAGGTGAAACAAAAAAAGCATAAAATGGATTCAATTAACTTGAGATGGATATGAGTAAGTAATATTTTTTAGCTCTAATAAATCAAATGAAACCATGTCAATACCATATCAAACATCTTTCATTAATGAATTAATTGTTAAAAGTCATTCTTCATCCAATCTCATAGTTCATGCAGTCAAAAGTTCACATATAATAGCAAAAGGCACGAAGAAGACAGATAATTTTGTTCCTATTAGAACTTGGAACAATATAAAAGCCAGCTAAGGAAATAATTGCATTCCCACCTATTGCAGGTCTAGAATAAATCAATAATATATTAGAAAAGGAAATCAAATTGTTAATGACCACTTAAATCAATTAAAATAATTGAAGTTTAAATTTAATCTTCAAGAAAAAAATTAGGTTGATGACATCTAAGTTTTTCAATGATCTTCATCCCAAAATAAAGACAAGAGTATAAGACTATAATATTATGAACATATAACTATAAATGAAGCTAAACACTAAGCCTTGACGATAACAAGAAATCCTCACAATAGAAAAAATGTTAATCAATCAGCCATCACAATCACAAATTCATCTGATTATCAAATCAACCATTGTCCATCCTTCAGTTCAGTCTTCACATTCTACCACCAAAAATCGTATACTTTTTCTTGAACTCTTACAAATGAAATACCACTATCACACAACGTGATGATGTCGAATATAGCAAGTGTCAAGAAAAAGATCATATAGAAATCTAATGCCATGGTAAAACTATGTTATTAGTGCTTGAATCAAATGAACTTTCAAACAGTGACAAAGAAAATATTGAGAATTTTGAAAATGACCCCTTTCTCATGAAGATCAAAACTTAAACAAATAATGACAAATTAATATCTGCTATAGTCTTTCTTGAACTCACACAAATGAAAATGAAATCGAAACTGAAACAAAAGATAAAATACTACATTGAATATGAAAACTCATGATTCAGCTCTTCTTCGTGATTTTAGTCCTTAGACATTTTGTTATTAGTGAATTTGCCAAAAATGCCTAGGTTTATGTTATATTCTGTGTCGAGCATTTACATGAATTAAATATTAGTTTTGAAATGAAATTTTACATGTATGAAAAAAGGCATATTGTTTGGTGCTTTGCAATTGTTCTTCTAATGTGTACTGTTGTGGTGCTTTGCAATTTTTTTCCTCCACTCCTGCTATTGGTTGTCACCAGATATCAATGAAAAAGTGTAGTATTACTGTGACTTATTTCTAGCTATGGGCGGATCTTCCATGGCTAACTTTCTTATTATGAATCTATTTGAAAATGCAATGGATTGATTTTGGTAAACTTTGTTATTCAAGCTGTTATTCCTGATTTGAGTTTGTTAATTAAACTATTATACTTTATGAAAATGCAATGGAGCTATAATACTTTATTAATTATATATATATATATATATAATGAAATTTTGTATTAATTTCTTTTTTACAATTTTTTTAAAATAGTCAATAAATGGACCTAGTTCTTATTTTCAACTAAAAAAGAGGCCTGGATGCTGAAGTTGTCTACTTATTTAAAATTTAATACAAAATTTTGAGAATTTTAAACAGTCTACAAATGAAATTTCATAAAAATTTATAGGAACTTAAAATAGAGATTAAAATGTTATTTAAGTTTTTATAAAAAGAAAAGGTTAATATATTTTAGAATTTATATTTTTTTCAATAAAAACATTTAAATATTAAATTATATTAAAAGAATTTTATTTATATAAAATAAAGATAGTTAGATTTCAAATTTATACTCATTATTAATTAAAAATAATTAATTCATAATACCTATGTTTATGTATATTATATAAGAGAGTAAATTTCATTATATAAATTCTACATATTTATATGTGATTTTATTTCTATAATTAGTAAATTAAATTTACGAGGGTACAAAATGTGTATATAAATTTAAAATATCATAATACAGTAAATTTACTTTAGAAAATAATAATAATCATATTGTGATTTTTCATTAAGTTTTAAATTAAAAAGATTAGTGATTAATATATATAGAGAAAGAGAGTTCACATATTTTTAAAAATTCAATATATATGAAATTTTAATTAAAATTTAAAAGGAAAATTTTAAATATCAAATTATAGAAATTTATCATTTAAAATGTTAATCTATCAACATCGAAGTAAGGAATAAGATAGTAGTATGATACACTTTTTTTTTTTTTTTTTTTGGGGGGGGGGGGGGGCAGGGCAGGAAGGGGGAGATAATCAATGGGAAAATTGTTTGAGAAAATTTCATACTTGTGTTTATACTATTTAGGAAGTGTTTAATTGTTTAGAAAGGTTACCTAAAATATGTTTACTTGTTTAGGAAGCTTTCCTAAATCATATCTAATTATTTAAGAAAGTTTTCTAAATTATGTTTATGTTGATTAGGAAGGTTCTATATGTTTAGAGAGGTTTCCTAAATTATATTTATGCTAATTTGGAAGGTGGTTTTAATTGTGTATGGTGTTCTAGGGCTATTTAAGTCTATGGTTTAGGAATGATATTGGTATTAATTGTGTATGGTGTTCTAGGGCTATGTAAGTCTATGGTTTAGGAATGATATTGCTGAGTTTATTTTCCTAGTGTTTGTTGTGAATTCTAGCAGAGTCTAGGGTTTGTGGGAGAGCTGATCTACCTCTCGAATAGTAGATCAATTGTATCTTGCTTTATTCTTGAAATAGAAAAAAAGAAAATTAGCCCCATCTTTGTGTTACTACGCTAATCTTCTCGTATTTGTTGTTTTTACTTCCAAGGTGTATCAAATTGGTATAAGAACACTTTTTTGGGACCTATGGCAACAAAGAAGGTGGAGGCGTTGGAAAGTAGGATAGAGAAAATCAAATCCGACGTGGAGAAGAGGTTTTCATCCATGCAGGGAAGGTTCTCAGCTGTGAAAAGAAAGGCTCTCGCCCATTGATAACCGCTTTGAAAATTGCTTTGAGAAATTGGTGGACATGATAAACTAGATGATCGAGAAGCAGTCAAAAGCTTCATTGTGAATCCTAGGCCTAAACCAAAGGGAAAGGAAATTCTAGAGCAGACAAGAAAGCTCATGGAGATGCGATCCAAAACTCTACTGACGGTTCCAATAGCTAACCCTAATCAAGATTTGATCGGGATTCCCTTGATCGAATTTGAAGGAAAAGAGATAGGATGAGGAGAGTGTTGATGTGTTTTTCGCATTGACCTGACCCCAATAGAGCACTGTAGAATATAAATTGACCCAAATCGAGCCTTAATTTTATCAAATTAAGCTAAATTTTATCAAATAAAAGTCAAATTGATTGAATCAACCTCAAAATTGATCAAAATCGAACCCAACTAAGCCTCGTCAAACCAAATTCGACACGATTTGGCGTTGATTCAAGCAAATTATTTTCAATCAAACTCATTTAGAGAGAGAACTCTCAACTAGGTGGTAAGTTTGATGAAGTATCTATCTTTCATCTTGGCATTCTTACAAAAAAATTCAAAAAAACCAAACATTGTACCCTTCGAATCTATACAAAAGGAATAAACACACCCAAAATATTTCTAACAATCTCATAGCTTAGAACTATTACCAAATAACAATGATTAACCTATTATTACATATTCTCCTCTATATCACATCTCCCAATACGTAACTCAAATTTTTTCTCCTACACATAAAGCCTTCCTTACAAATATTAACTCTAGTTCCATTACAATTCCACACACTCAATTTGAGGCACAATAAAACAAGAATTAGAAAGATGCAATGAGAGAAAAAAATGAATTCTCCAAAAAATAAAAAAATATTAAACTTGTAGACCACTTAACTACCAAAAGAAAAGAAATGATAAAATGCAAATAATTTTTTTTGTTAAATATATTGCAAAAGTAAACTTGAAAAAGTAAAAACATGGTTGGTAACCAAATATACTCAATCCTATGAAATTCACTATCAATAAACTTCTGCTCATTTTGCAAAAAATTAATACAATATGCATCTTAATTTCTCTTCCAGCAAAGTTTGGATGGTTCATGCAATAGTACGATGTAAATAATATTTTTCTACAAAAAGATGCTGAAGAATTCTACATGGATCCACTACTTGGATTTGATAGTTCTTTCACAAAGAACAAAGCATGCAAATTAAAAAAAAAAACCTTCATATGACCTTAAACAATAAGAAGATGATTTGACGGATTCACAAAAGTCACAAATGAAGTTCGATAGAGGAAAAACCAATAAGATCAAAGATTCTTCATTAAACATTCCATTGATGATAGAATCTCAATTCATATTATATTTATATATATAAATATATATATTGATGATATAACTATCACAAACGATAACAATATAGAAAAAGACATCAGAAAAACAAAAACTTACTAACGAATTTGAGATCAAAAGAACTAGACAACTCGAAAACTTATTGGCAATTTAAACCACTCAATCAGAATAAGAAATATTCATCTTTCAAAAAAAATATGCCATTGTTCGACTAAAAGAAAAAATGATTTATTGCATACAATTAAAAGACAGACAAATAAGTTGGTAAGATGAATGAGATATCTTGCCAATTTACCCATTGAAGCATAATATGCAAATCAACAAAATAAGCAATAAATTCTATTTATTAGAAGCAAATCATATCATACCTCCCAAGCAGCTGGCTCAAGCCATATATTATCAACCACATCAAAGTTTGGTAGAAGAAGAGCAATAAGACCCCGACCAGCTGCCCAGACAGCATGTGGAAATTTCTCTTGCCTTGTCCACTAGCAAAAAGTTGAAGTCATCATGAGTGAAAAGCCATATAAAGCAAAATAGCGTAGTAAGCTGTATTGTTTGATGTATCCAGTAGTAAACTAAACAGTCAGATTACCACAAATTGATTTTTCCTGCAGTAAAACATAAGCAGATCTTTTATTATAACAGTGAGTTTAAAACGAAGTAACCAAATGTAGAGCCAAATTCATGAGCAATCCACGACAATTTTTACAGCTTAAATATATAGAGTGGAAATTACATGATCACCACAACTTTAAATTACAATTGTTAGCAATAGAACGCAAAGAAAAACTAAACCAAAACAATACAAATGTGCAATGTATATGAGACTTATAAGAAACCCATAATCGTAGTAAATAAATTGGTACTCAAGACTGGTGATGAGATACATGTGAACATACATGAAGTTGAACTTCCAACGTGTATATATATATATATATATATACTATTAAGCTGGATAGGGATGCGGATACTTTGATTTTCCAAATTTGCAAACGCAGATCAATTTAAATTTCATCATCATCGTGAGTTTAATATTGCAAAGGAAATATAGCTAAAATAAAGGGATAACATGTTTTTTTCTTATTTTATTCCTAAAATTTTAATTTTCGGTGCAATATCATCAAAATTTAACTTTTTAGCCTGTCTTCTCTCATATTATAGGTAAACAATTGTTGCAAAATTATCTTCAAGGATGTTTAATTTTCTTTGGATATTTGTTGCATGGCAGTTGTCTTTGACAAGGAAGCAGTATTTGTCTAATATATAACCTATATAAAAATAATGATTCATCATAATTCAAAAAGCAAACATTGTCAGTCAAAAGCCCAGATGAAAAAGTATGAATTTAAGCTTAACACAATAATTGTGTAAAAAAGGCACAGATTGTCTAGGATGTTACTCCAAAATGACACACCAATACATAACCAAATTAAAAAATTAATTGAGGATCGAGTAGATCTAAAACAAAGATTAGAATTTTTACAGGGAATTTAAGAGCTTTGGATAAGATCAAAAGAGATTGATGCAACGAGTTTAGAAAGGAATAAATGTTTTTTTTTTTTTTAAGAAACTCAATAAAAAAAATCCAATGTTAATGAGGAAAGTGAAAAAATGATGTAGGCGGGGGGCGGGGGGCCCCCTTTGGTGAAATGTTATATCCTCTACTAATTCGGCTCATTAATGTTTAGTGGAATGCCTTCTTCAGCTCATTATTGAGGTGTCCTGATTCTCCCCCCCCCCCATATGTTAGCCTTTTGGTTTCTCCCCTAGCTCCTATCCTGTGGCTGCCCTTTCCTCTCCCCGTGGCTGCCTTTTCCTCTCCCTCATGTGGTCCCTTCGGTTGCTGTTCCAAGCCACATGCTAGCCTTCTGTTTCCCCCTTTTTGGGTTGGTTCGGCTGGAGGAAAAATAGGTTGTTTGGATGCCTCTTTTCATTTATATATATGACTTGTTTTGTTGATAAAAAAGAGATGATATGTGATAATTTTTTGAGGAAAAAACCTACATGTTTCTTCTTGGAAAAGCTTGCGAGCTTGTTCCATTTCTCTCCTCCTCTCTTCGATTTCGTCTTGGGTTTCTTATCTCTTTCTTCTCTCCGCAAGTGACAACCCCATTTGTATCTTCTCAAGCGATGTAAAAGCAATTTTAGGTGTTTTTATATTATAATTTTATATGCGTCATCTTTATAATATGAAAGTTGTATTATGTTTTGTTCAAGTGTGGTATTTTGCCATTTTGTGGTATTTTGGAAGAAAGACCTAGTTTTTATGTAATTTTGCGATCTTCTGATTGCATCAATTTGGTATCAGAGCCTAGGTTAGTATATTCCTAGGTTGTTCGTGTCTTTTTTAAGTGTTTATAAAAAAATAAAAAAAAATTATGGACCCTCATCAACAAACGGAGCATCCAAATAGTGTGGAAGTCAACTCTGAAATTGATAAAAATCAACCAAATGTTCTTGAAGAAGATATCCCTATGAACAAATGGATTTCGTCGCAAGGAAGTTCAACCGATCCGCTTCAAAATGAATTTGCAATTATGTACAGACAAAATGCGAAAAGAAAAAGCAAAATCTCCGAGCCAAATTCAAGCAAGAAAGTAAAATGATCTTAAAAAAATATGCGGCCGTGATTCAAGAACTAGATGCGACACCTTTACCTCGTCAGGAACGTACTCAAGCTTCATCAGGAGATGAGCACTTTCAACCGGGGAAGAATTTGATGTTGGAAAAGGGAGGCAATTGACTTTGGGTTGATGTTTGGGTTTTGTTGTCTCGGTTTGGGCTGTCCCCTTTGGTGAGCTACTATATCCTCTACTAATTCAGCTCATTAATGTTTAGTGGAATGTCTTTTTCAGCTCATTATTAAGGTGTCCTGATTCTTCCCCCTCCCCTTTTGTTGGCCTTTTGGCTTCTTCCCTGGCTCCTGTCCCGTGGCTGCCTTTTCCTCTCCCCCATGTGGTCCCTTCGGCTGCTGTTCCAGACCGCCTGCTAGTCTTCTGTTTCCCCTTTTTGGGTTGGTTCGACTGGAGGAAAAATGGGCTGTTTGGCTGTCTCTTTTCATCTATATATATGAGTTGTTTTTGTTGATAAAAAAATAGATGATATGTGATAATTTTTTAAGCCAAAAACCTGTGGGTTTCTTCTTGAAAAAGCTTGCGAGCTTATTCCATTTCTCTCATCCTCTCTTCGATTTCATCTTGGGCTTTTTATCTCTTTATTCTCTCCGCAAGTGACCACCCCATTTGTATCTTTCTTCTCAGGCGATGTAAAAGCAATTTTAGGTGTTTTTATGTTATAAGTTTGTATGCGTCATCTTTATAATATGAAAGTTGTATTGTGTTTTGTTTAGGTGTGGTATTTTGCCATTTTTTGGTATTTTGGAAGAAAGACATAGTTTTTATGTAATTTTGCGATCTAATTGATTGCATCAAAAAATTTACTATAGGAATTGGTTTAGGATATATAGTGGGGAGTGGTAAAATTAATTGTTGTTAATGATAGGCTAATTGCTATATAACTATTGGTGAGGACATTTCAAATGTAAATAGCATTTATATTCCTAAAATTAGATAAAGAAATATATGAAATTGTTTTTGATGGAAGATTGACAGACTAATACAATGTATGACTTAGAAAGAATGAATATTTATTTGAGGTAACTTAACTGGACATATAGGTTCTACTCAGATAGGGAATGAGAGGATTCAAGATGGGTATAGCATAAAAGAAGTAAATGGAATGCTGATGCAGATAGCCGCGGAACCAAGCAACCAGCCACGGGAACCAAAGGGGCAAAGGCACGGGAAATCACCCAGCAAAGGAAAATGAGAAGACAAAGGGGAGGAGAAGAGGAAAGTCCACTCCAAATTGAATCCATGAATTAAAGCATACCTTTTTGGAATAATGAGCTAGGAAGTTCAATAAATCTCCCAATAATTGAACTAAACTTCAGCTCAACATTAATGAGCTAGCAACTTAGAAAATAAAGCTCAACTCCAATAAACCACCACCTCCCATCACCATCTTCAGCTCAAACCGAGAACCATAAGCCAACGCGAGAATCAACATCAGCCCAAAGGACCAATCAAACTAGCAAACCAAAGGTCTACCAAAGCCCAAGCACAACCTACCATGATCATTGGATGTCTTCCATCATTGGATAGCTAAAAAAATATAAAACTAAATAAAATACTAATGTTCAATATTTAAAAATGAAAATACAGAAATTATGAATGCATCCATTCCCCCTGGTGGGAGAGTCTCATCTCCGGATGAGAAAGCTTCAGAAACTTTCTAAAAAAGATCAGGATGATGCCGTTTTAGCTCATTAGCATCCATCCAAGTGCAGTCGATTAGAGGTCGATTCTTCCATTTTGCTAAGAACCTCTTATGCTCACCATGCCTTATTTTAGAAATTATGACATCAATAATATCTTCAACCTGTTCTTAAGATTTTGCCATAGAAGTGGAGAGTGGCAAAATTTCAATTTCTACATAATCGTCAAAATTTCCTTCATATAAAGAAAGGTCAGAAACATACAGGAGAAGTGCCAACAGAAATAGGTAGATCCAACAGATAGGAATTTGTGCCTAATTTTCGAAGCACACGAAAAGGTCCAAATTTCTTTCTGCTTAACTTTCTAAAAGTACCAACAAGAAATCGTTGGCGACGAAAGTAAGCCATAACCAAGTCACCCTCATTGAAAATAACCTCTTTTTGATGTTTATCAGCAGTAGATTTGTACTTAGCATTAGCCTTTTGGAGTTTTTCAAGGACTTGCTGTTGGACGGTCTTTATGTGGTCAAAAGTTTCAAAAGCTTCAGCACTAGTTTTGTTTGGTAAAGACAAGCAGTTTCTATCTAAAATGTGAGGAATATGTTGTCCATAAATAATGTCAAAAGGAGTTTTACTAGTGAAACGATTAACAAAATTATTGTAAGCAAACTCAGCTTGAGGCAAGACTAAATCCCATTGGGATGGTTTTTCTCCAGCAAGACACCTTAATAAATTTCCTAAGCTTCTATTGACAACTTCAGTTTGTCCATCAGTTTGAGGATGATATGCACTACTAAATTGAAGAGTAGTCCCAAGTTTTGCCCAAAGAGTTCTCCAAAAATGACTCAAAAATCTAGTGTCTCGATCAGAAGTAAAAGTACGAGGAACATCGTGAAGATGAACAATTTCTTTAAAAAACAGATCAGCAATATAAGAAGCATCAGAAGTTTTCTTGCAAGGAATAAAATGTGTCATTTTGCTAAAGCGATCCACCACCACAAAAACAGAGTCAAATTTTCGAATAGTAACAGGCAAACCCAAAATGAAATCCATAGAAATATCCTCCCAAGGTTTGTTTCGAATAGACAGAGGAGTATACAAACCAGAATTTTGTGAAGTTCCCTTGAAAGCCTGATATATTTTACATTGTTTAACCAGCTTAGCAATTTGCTTTCTCATATGAGGCCAAAAATATTTTGCTTCAACCAAAGCAATAGTTTTTCCTTGCCCAAAATGTCCATCCAAACCCCCACTATGAAATTCTTTCACAAGTTGTTCTCTTAAAGAGTTTTTAGTTATGCAAAGTCTAGACCCCTTAAACAAAAAAACTTGATGTATAACAAACTGAGCAGAAGGATCAGTTCTAGAAGCAAGACAAGAATCTCAAATACCTTTAAAATTAGAATCACTTGCACAAGTATCTTTCAAAAAATCAAAAGAAGTGATAGTTGAATAAACAATTACCAACAAATGAGATCTCCTGTTTAAAACTTCAGCAACTTTTTTTAAAACACCAGTTTTATGTTTAATATAAAAAGTATACTCTTGCAAAAATGAAACCCACTTGGCATGCCTTTTATTCAAAATTTTTTGAGAGCCCAAAAAACGAAGTGCTTCATGATCAGTATTTAAAACAAACTCCCTTTAAATCAAATAACATCTCCAGAATTTCAAAGCTTGAACAATAGCATAAAACTCCAAATCATAAGTAGAATATTTGGATCTAGTTTCATTCAGTTTTTCACTAAAGTAACAAGTTTTCCCTTTTGACTAAGTACAATATCAATACCAACATGAGAAGCATCGCAATCAACTTCAAAAATATTTTCAAATTTTGGCAAGCTAAGAATGGGAGCATGGTTTAAAATTGCGCAATATGAGGCTCATCTTGAGGCCTGCCTTTGCGCAATTCGAGTGAAAAGCGCCTTGAGGCTTACGCCTCTAAGTTTTTTTTATGAGGCTTGCGCCCCAACTTGGTTGAGGCCCGCCTTAAGGCACGCCTCGCCTCAATGGCGTGGGACTTACGCCTCACCCGATATATATCAAAACTTACATAAATCCTGAAGTAAAGCAGCGAACAAATCACACTTTGTGTACCCCTAGTCGCTGTAACTTCCTCTCAACTTCCTTAACCTCTAACCCGTCGCCATTTTTTAACATATTATTTGAGTATTATATAAAAATTTACTTTTAACATTTATTTGCACTTAATACAATTTTTTTATTATGAGGCTCACGCCTCAAAATGCCTTGAGTCTTACACCTCACCTTACAAATAAAAAAAGCCTCAATACTTAATTGTGCATTTTTAAACATGGTGATGACAATGTTGATGACTTATGAGTTCTTATATGATATGCCATTGCTATTTATTTTTGGAATTATATGTTAATGAAAAAGAATACTGTGATTTGAGAAAGATGGAGTTTGAGTTGAACTATATTTCATGTTGTCTTATTATTGGGATATTTTGATTTCACTTCATATCTTGTGCATTTTTATGTTTTATATATTATTTAATCATTAGTATATACAAAATTTATCATTTTATGTTTACGCAATTTTTTAATTTTGAGGCTTACGCCTCAAAACACCTTGAGGCTTACGTCTCGCCTCACGAACGAAAAACGCCTCAATACTCGATTACACAATTTTAAACATTGAATGGGAGCTTGACTTATTTTTGCCTTAACGATTTCAAAAGTTTTTTCAGCTTGAGGTGTCCACCTAAATACCACTTTTTCAAGCAATCAATAATAGGAGCAAACAGAGAACTGAAGTTCTTTATAAATCTTCTATAGAAAGAAGCCAAGCCATGAAATCCTCTCACCTCACTTATGTTTTTAGGAATGGGCCAATTTTGAATTCCTTCTATTTTTATCGGATCCACTTTTATTCCATCAGCATAAACAATAAAACTCAAAAATGTCAAGCTCGATGTCATGAAGGAACACTTTTTAAGATTAATGAAAAGCTTTTGTTCTCTTAGAATTTGCAACACTTGCTTCACATGATTTAAGTGTTCAGAAGGATGAATGCTATAAATCAAAATGTCGTCGAAATAAACCACAACAAACTTTCCAATAAAATGTTTCAAAACATGATTCATAGTTCTCAAAAAAGTACTCGGAGCATTTGAAAGCTCAAAAGGCATCACAAGCCATTTATACAAACCTTCTTTAGTTTTAAAAGCAGTTTTTCATTCATCCCCAGGCCTTATTCTTATTTGATGATACCCATGAGTACAAGGTTTGTCCACCATCCGTACTGTCCCCAAATACCATCCCTATTATTCTCCCGATGAATTTTGTGAGTTTATTTTGCAACCAATGAAACAAAAAAAAAAAAACATATCATGTGAGTTTATTTACCAACAAACCAAACAACCTTAAAAAAGAAAAATACAATGTATTCAATTAAAACTGCATTTGAATAATCATGTATCTTAAACACTAACAACATATATAGCCTCTAAACCCTTCGTTATTTCTAATTTTTTGTACTTTTTCAAGTGCAACTCTACTAGAATGCTGAACAGTAAAATTAGCATTTATACATACATCAAGTTTAAGCATTCAATTATTACTGAAAGTTTTCTAGTATTTTCTACAAACCCCTCCACCCGTCCACCTAGTCACATTCCACACTGATCTAAGTGCCACCAAAATACATCAAAGCGCATTATTTTCCAATCAAATTTTTGTTAAAATCTATTTGGAGAAAAATAATCAAAAATCATAAGATTGGATTGATTTAATTTACAGCATTAGTATCATTATCTTATTTCATCTTACTTTAGTTGCATGCGTCTAGAAACTAATTGACCTTAATCTTTTCATTTTCCCAATGAAATTTCTTATACACAAGCAAGAGGAATAATTTGCTTTTATCCACAAAAAGAAATACCGCAGACGTAGGTGCAGACCAAACACACGATAAAATACATAGCATGAATCCTCACTTGTGGAGACAAGGAACAAAAAAATATCTACACAAATATGCTAGTTTAGCAGATAAGAATCTGATCTGAGCAACAAAGACATGAACGAATAAGAATAACGTTAACAATTTGACAAAATGATCCAAAACACATACAATTGCAAGAATCAAGATGGTTTAAATAGCAAATAGATGTTTGAAATTTTTCATGCAAATCTCCGGAGTGAAAATCTACAATTCCAGCAATCAAATAGGTTACTTTATGAATTCATACCTGAAAATACATTCAGAGATTTTAAAAAGGATATGTAAAAAAAATTTAAAATAAGCATAGCACGAACCATTTTTTTTTTTTTTTTTTTTTTAAGCATAGCAATAACCATAATACAATAAGCAAACTAAATAAGGAATACTGTTATCCTCAGTACAACTGAATGGATAAAATCACATTTAAATCAAGCACATAAGGATTCTGAGATTCAAACAAATGTTACAACTTACATCAGTAGGAGGAGTCAAAAGTTCTATTCCATTGCTTATCTGACCATAAGGCTCCATCAAATCAACCACCGATTGCATGTCTTCCCTTGTCAAAGTCAATCCAAGATGATCTGCCAGACGTATGCTTATGCTCTTGAAAAGTTTGGTTCCTCTTAACCATGAGGGAATAACATTACTAAATGTCTGCAAAAAATATTATCACAAGCACTAAAATTACCCATAAAAATAAACTACTAGAGGAGAAAAATATAACCCTTCGTATAGGATCGAATACAGATATGGTAGAATAAACTAATGGGATAAAGCTGGTGAGGTTTTCTTAGAAAACAAAAAGCAAAAGAGCGGAAAAATAAATGAGTAAATGAAGGAGATAGTTTTTTGGTTGCATAATGCCACTAAAAATGCAAGAAAAGCTTTTGTGCCAACAGAAGTATATTCTCTTAAGTGAGAATAAAGAGAACTATTCCGAGCAACTACAACAACATGAATTATTTTTCTAATAAATCTATTAAGAAAAAGTAGGGGTGTCAATTTCGGGTCACGGGTCGGGTTCAAGTCGGACCCGGAATTGACCCGGGTTCAAACGGGTCGACCCTAACCCGACCCGGTTAGGTAAACGGAACCCGACCCGTTTTGAAATCGGGTCGGGTAAAACCCGGATTTTCGGGTCGGGTCCAGGTCGAGTTTTCGTGTCGTGTCAAATATTGACACCCCTAAGAAAAAGGTCATCTTTAATAATTTTTAACCAAGTCTTTTTAGGCCTACCTCTGTCATTTGTAACATAGGATAGATCTAATATATCTACTCTCCTAAAAAAGTCATCGGAAGACTGATGTTTTATATGACCAAACCATCTAAAATAACTCTCTAATGTTACATGTCACCATAGCAACTCCACCCTTTTCACGTATATTCTCATTTTGCATTATGTCTCTAAGTGAAAAGCCACTTATCCACCTAGGCATCCTCATCTCTGCAATATTTAACTTAATTTTATGCATCTCTTTCAATTGCCAGCATTCTGTGCCATAAAACATTTCAGGTGTCACTAGTCTGAAGCATTTCTCCACTTCAACCATCAACTTGAATTCTACTAATAATATCCCCATCTATTTCACCATAATTTTTGAGCAATAGACCAAAGATATTTAAAATGTGCACTCTTTTTAATGACTTGATCACCTAATGTCACAATCCCAACACAAGATCAATTACAACTAAAATTATTCTCAAGTATTCATTTTTGAATCTACTCAAATGAAAACCCTTTAGACTTTATGATTGACCTTTATAATTCAAGTTTTCCTCATCTCTCTCCAGTTTTATCAACAAGAGAATATTATCCACAAAAAGCATACACCAAGGTACATCCTCTTGTAAATGTCTAGTAAGAACATCCATGACTAAAGCAGAAAGATATGAGCTTAAAGTTGGTCCTTTATGTAACTTGAATTCTGATCAACTAAAAGTTAAGAAAATGCCGGAAATCATTAGAGATAAATATAATTCCTTTATATTAAAGTTTGGGACCCCAACCTCCTTTGAACCGAGTTTCTGAGCCAATAGGTATATCTTTCTATTCAGAAAAAACATTGGAAAGTTGCCAGTTAAAGCAATGAGTAGTCCAGCAAATCAAATCAAGGAAATTTTTCTACTGCAAGTAATAGCAAAACCAACTAATAATAACATAGTAGACAGGTTGATTTAAGTGAAATACTAACAAATTTTTTTGTTAAATTAAAGAAATTCTAAGAAAAAAATGCAGGAATGCAAAACCAAATACTAGTTATGTAACAATTCGATAGCTGCTGAGGCTTAGTAACTAAATTACTCATGGCACATAAGATTTAAAAAGCAGCAAGAAGGTATTTCATGCCCGATATAGAAAGATGCTCCCATCTGCACAAAGTAGTTCAGCAAAAAGATGAAATCTAAACTACTGAAAATTGCAATTAACCGCACGTCAAACTTCTGAGAACTTGGCAATATGAATGGTTTGTGCATAAAACATTACTGACAATAAGAAAAAGCACTCGCATGCCTTCAACAGAAATAGACAATACTGCAAATAGCGGAAGAAAAACCAGATCATTAGCTGGGAACCAAACATAACGCATCAAATGAAGATAAATTATGCATACCGCAAACCAGCTGCAGTAGCCCATCAACTCATCTGTGTCAAGAACTTTATTTCGAAATGCACTACCCTCCAATGCAACAGGAACAAGTTTCAATTCAATGGGCCTGAGCAGCGCTGTTTTTTCAGCAACCTAAAAAAAAAATTAACAGCCTTGCGTGTTTTAGAATTAAAAATGCAAAACGCAAGTTTATTTCACTCTCCCTTTCTTCAATAACAAAGCAAACAATATTATCTTTCTACCTTTTTTCTTGCATAAAGGACAGAGACCTAGAACACCATTATATAGGCTTAAATGTTACCGTATTGCTTATTACTTGCCACATTGCAGAAGATTGGTCAGGCACCAGAAATACAAAGATGCTTATTGTCATGCCCCAAAAAAATGAAGAAATTAATATCAAATTTTCTTTTAAAATTTATATCAATTTTCACACATTCAAAAATGATCAAAAGAATTTTTATAAAACTCTGCAGTTTCTTCTCATCATTTCATATATAGATGTATATATTAATATTTATGTATGCTAATATTTCTTTTTTTTTTTTCAAAAGTTTCCATTGATGTTACTGTACATTGGATTAATGTATTGTAGCAAGTAGTCATTTCCCCTGTACAGCTCTTCACTTTCTCAAACATAAAACGGCTGTGATAAGTTTTTCTAATACTATAGTATATTATATATATATATATATATCAAGTATATCAAGCAGCCATTTCATTTCTCTCTTTTCCCATCCCATAACTCCAGCAAAACCCAAAACAGCTGCTGAAATATAGGAGGAGAAGAAAAAGAAAAAGAAGAAGAGGAAGCTGCTTCATTAACTAAAAATCCAAATTTTAGCATTTTCTTCCATGAATAAATTCGATTTTGAGTTGATAAGCTTGAGTACTTCACCTTTTAGGTAAAATTAGCATTTGAGGTTTACTTGATATAGAAATATATTGTTAACCTAGGAATTGATTGATGAGTGCGAAGATATCAGTTCTAGGATCCAGTATTTATAGTGAGATGCTCAATCTCTAATAAAGCGAACAAATTATTCTCAAGCCTGATGTTTAGTAATTCCAATAATTCCATAAGAAAATCCGTATACGTGAGTATATAATTCTTCATAATAAGTATGTTAGCATGATTTTAGTAATTCTGCCATATTTTTTGATTGATCACTTGCTCACGATAATTTCATGGTAGTTCTACAAAATTCAAGTTTCAAGATTGTTTAATAAGATATGACGCATAATTAAGTGCCCAGATGTGGACTTTTACATGTCTCGCTATATTATTGATGCATGCTAATATATGTGGATTGATAACAAATGTATATCAATGCTAAATAATTTTAAATACCTTTGATAGTAAAGCTAAAGAGGAAGTCTTTGCAAGAACATGTCATGTGGAATAGGTTGACATATTATATTAATTTGCTAAGGGAGAGTCAAAAGTTCTTATAAATTCATTCTCAACTCTCAATTGGTACAAAAGGGGTCTAACTCGATAATTAGTTTGAGTAGTCAAACTTTACCGCAATGTTTGATTAAGTCCAAACCTTATCCATGGTTACTATAGGTTAGATGAGAACCAAACGATATAAATATGTCAAAGCCCATGCAAACATTATATTACAGGTCTAGGACAATAATCAATAAGAATGACAAAGAAAATTAAAGAAAATAATATAATTTGATACCAGTATCTATATAGTTTAATGCATTATATAATTTAAAATTTTGCAATTAATTTTAGTTCTTGCAAACTCTCATGCTTGGTGCTTATGACAGAGTCTTATATTATTAAAGCATATCCTAATTTTATGTTAATTATATTGAGCTAGCTTTATCTACTAATATTTATGCGCAGATTAGTTCAAGTTATCAAAATGGCATATTATGCACTTTTTTTATAGTTTGAACCGCATATTAGAAATAATTATCTCACTTAGTCTTTAGCTCGTTAGATATTATTATAATTATTAATTTAGTAAATAGAAAGAAGCAACTTGGTCCATGGTCAAGTAACTCAACTTCATCCAGTACTTAAGATTTTTAGTGCACATTATTAGATTTATCATAGAAGAAAGATGTCCTGATATAAATTAAAGATTTTTGGTGCTTGTTAATTATATATAAATTTTTTTAAAAATTCTGTAGTCTAGTTTGATGGCTTAAATTATTTATGTTTTTAATAGATCTATCAAAGGATTATGAAGTGAAGAATAAGTTTTGTAATGAATTAGGAAAACTAATTTTCTACTTACTCGATCCTATGAGTGAGATATATATTTGACAAGATTGTCCGTCTGTATTACGTCTCATGCTTAACTAGAAGATGTCAAAAAGAGGCATGAAACTCGTATCATTTGGTGGGCAATAGATTGATCTATCTTTTATTAGCCAGTTGAGAATTCTATTTCACATGCAAACAGGTATTATAGACAATGTGGTACAGAGAAATAGTTCTAATGTATGCTTGATGTGATAGATACTATGAATGCAACTGAGTAAAAATAAATATGTAGAAGTTAATAAACTTAGCCCACTACAAAATTACCAAATCTGACAAGAAAATAAAGAGCAGAATTAAAGCATCATTGCTTATTAGTAAAAATGAAAAATCAAACAAAAAGGATAAGGACCTCAATGGACTGCACAACTAATAATGCAGCCTGAACATGCTAACAAATAAAATGGAAAACAATCTGTTATTCCTGCATTATTCGTTCTTTCTTGGTGCCTTCCTTTGTGCAAATACAACATCAAACAAAAAGACATGGCTAGCTTCAATGTCAAAGCATGTTGCCAGAGAGCAATTAAAAAAAAAAAAGCATTTCTTAAAGATTCCATGCAACAAGTACCTTTTTCCAATCAACAAAATTCATTAAATCAGGATCCATAGTTCCTTTTGCTGCAAGCAATAATATTTTTTCCCTTTCCATTTGAGTCGGTCTTTGCAGATGCAATACCCTGTCCATTCTTCCTGGCCTTCGCAATGCCTCATCTATTTGATTAAGATTTCGAGTAGTGGCCATCAAAACAACGCCATCCTGGTTTTCAAAACTGCCAAAGTGCACACCACATGAAAAGCCAAATATTTAGCAGTTTACTGGAAGAAATCTAAAGAACCCAGCAATGTTGAAATTCAATCAAACAGTGCACCAAGAAATATTTTACCAGGTGCGCCAAGGTAATTGAATTTTAGGGTAATAAAAATCTTCACCATGAAAAATTTGAGATAATTGTGAATGCAAAAAAACTTTCTTAAGAAACTGGAAGGTTTAATTTTGTCGATATGAAATCAGCAATCTAATTAACAAAAGGCAAGGAGATAATTTTACCCATCAAGTTCAACAAGAAGCTGATTAATGAAGGCCTCATGATCTTGCTTTTTTGTGTGAATAAACTGGCCCCGAACACCAGCAAAGAGATCAAAATCTTCAACGAAAATTATTACAGGTGCCTATAAAAAAGCTATTAAACTGTTACTCCAGAGCAAGAAAATGAAGAATATCAAAATTGGGTAATAGTGATGGTAAGACCTGGAAATGGACAAAAAAATGGGCTATCTTTTGCAGATATCGACTTTGCTACTAAATGACAGAAGCTCTATCTCTCCCACCCTCTAACATAGCTATAGCATAGAATAACAACTACCATCATCTCCCCAAATCTAAATATATATCGAATAGAATTTCTCCATTGTGATTGCAAACTATTTAAAATTTGAATTGATATATTAAGTTGTAAACTAGGATTTAGAGAACCACCAAATCCCTAGCAGCCTGGAAAAGCTCCCTAATATTTGATGCGCTTTGGCCAACCCATAGTCCAGCCTCTAGTTGACTAGCTTTGACCTCAACAACAGGAACCCTAGCTTCTGCAGCTATTGCCAATGCAAGAGATGTTTTCCCTGTTCCTCTCTCTCCAACAATGAGAACGCCCTGCAAAATCAATAAGAAATTGCTAGAACCTTCCTGAATATGAAATACACAATCAAGAAGAAACGATGATATTGAAGAGTAGACTGCAAGATCAAACAGGCACTGAGTGGTCAAGGGAATCAAGCCAGTTATACGTGGTGAAACAATGTATATCACATACACATGGATGCAAAAAGTCATTAACCTGAGAAGTATGTCTTATCAAAACAAGAGAAAAGTCAGCTTTGTGTTTGTCGAGAATCCTTCAACTGATCCATTAGAAATCAAAATCTTTATATCCAAATTTAATATAACTTTCTTTAAACTCAAATCCATACAGGTATCCATACATACTAAAGCAATTACGTAATATTCTCATCTCAACCTTTCTGAGGAAAAAAAAAAGAAAGAACGCTCATATCCCGAGACCTATTTTTATACCTTTAGGGCTTAATTAAGCATATTTACAACAACAACAACAACAGCAACATCAAGCCTTTATCCCACCACGTTGGGTCGGCCACATGAATCATTTTTCTGGATTGTGTCATGTTAAGAGTCAAATTCTCATTTAGATCTAATAAAGAAAGATCATTTCTAATATTTTCTAACCAAATTTTTTTAGGTCTACCTCTACCTTTCTTAACATAGGCCAAATCTAATACATCTACTCTCCTAACCGGGTCATTGGAAGGCCGCCAAAATTGTTAGAATTAACTAATCAAAGTGTAATCAGACAATTATAAACAAGTAGAAAAAATAAACACGTCCCAAATTAGTTTTACATATTGAGTGATGAATTAATACAATTAAGCATTTAAAATTAACAAATAAAATAACTAATCACAATTTAGTAGTCAATTACAGTAAGTCAACCAAAACAACTCCAGGCCAACTGTTCAAGTGTTATGATCAAATGAACCATTCTTACACTTCAATCAAATGGAAAGTCAATGGTTCAGAATGTTGAATTTGATGCTAGATAGCTAACTAGAAGTCAATGATTGAAACTTAATCATAATTCAGTAGTCCTAAAGCTAAATTACAAGTGTTAATGTCATTAATTTGAAAAATGACAATAGTTGGTCCTTATTTGACAATACTTATTGATTAATTAGAATATAATTTTCTAACCAAGTGTAATTAGGCACACAACCCCGAAGAGTTAAAATTAGCCATCATTGCAATTAATCAAGAATAAAATCTAAGTTGTAAGCATTAAACTGCAATAAATAATAAAGCTTAAAACTAAATTAAGGGGGGAAAACAGAATTTAAGTATAATTGGTAGCAACACAATCATTTTTTTCCAACAATTGGATAGAAAAAGTAACAAACTAGAAATAATCAGTGGAAAAACTAAGTTTAATAAGCCTAATAAACTAAATAAAAATTAATTGGATTACCCTAGACTTCTAAATAATTTCAATGAAATTAGTTGATAATCACAATGCTTTGTCACTGTTTAACTATCTTAAATGTGACTCAACAAAATTAACGACTAAAATTCAAAGAAAGGACATTTTGGTACACTCATAAACTAATAAACATAACAAATCTTCATATAGTAGTGAACAACAACAAAATATAATTAGCAGCTAGTGTTCATGTTTTATTACAAACAAACTCATAATCATGTTATACAACAACGACAACATCAAGTATTTACCCCACTACGTGGGGATAAACATCACGTTATATCAAAGTTTAATTATGGTGAAGCATCACAAGAACTTCATTACATCGGCCCATTGATAGCCACCAAATCAAGGCCAGCATGGAATTTGTTCAAAGATAACCAATTTTTAAGCAACCATGATTCTCTTATTGTAATGGTTGACTGCTTTCCTAAATTAACTCATTTCATTTCATGTGATATAAATTGTTGACGCATTCTATAAAGAAAAATTATATTTTAATGAAGTTATTGAACTAATTGGATCACCTAAAATCATTTTCTTATATAAATATAAAATTCATGAGTTCCTTAAAAACTCTATAGAAAAAGATGAGAACTCAACTAGGGGTTTCATTTGCTTATCACCCATAAACTAAAAGTAAATTGTAGTTAATAAGAGTCTAGATGATCTATAATGATGGCTAATTAAGAAGAATGCATATTGTTGGGATTTAGTACTACCAAAGGCTAAGCACATATATAATTCAGATGTTAATAATTCTACAAGCATAAAACAAATAGAAATTAGTACAGCATCAATCTAAGAAAAATAAAGATCACGTTGAACCTCCAATCAAATACATACATTGTGAGTTTGCACAACCATTTGCATAGCATTTATATGACTCGCATGAGGATATTTGCAGAAAACTCGCCATTAATTATGACAGCTACAACTTTGATACTAATTTCTGCAAGAGATCTATTGAATTCAAACCAGTTGACAAAGTAATATAGAAAATTGAGAGTAATACTTAAACAACAATGTGGGCTCCGAAAATTCGCGCCCCAGCCTCCCCTCCGCCCTCGCTTTTTTTGTTGATGTTCAGAAGTGTCGTCTGGCCTCGCTTTGATCTTCAAACTGGAAGCTACGACACTTCTCAACATTGTAAAACCCAAAAACGACAATCGTAGGGTGTCACACGCATTTCGATGCGCCACGATAAAATTTAAGTGAATTTTTCAAAGTTGTCGGAATTTGACGGAAATAATTTTATAAAATTCTATGCAAAATTCTAAGAAATTTGATATATAAAACTTATATCTAATTTTGCTCAATTTAGAAATTAAAATTCATAGAAGTCTCTTAATATCTATAATACCCTTAGAGATTATTAAAGCTTGGATGTTTTAAGTGAGGGCAAAAGGGTCTTTTGGCATTCCCTTTTTCCTTATGTAATGAGAACTGAACCCTCTCTTTCCCCCATTCGTTCGGTTCGAATGAGATCGCGAAGAAGGGAGAGGCGGTCGGCAGAGGGGCGACGGGCACGGCTTCGGCGGCCATTCGTTGAGGAATTTTGGGGAAAACGTAGAGCAAAGCTAAAGGAAGACTAAGGTGAGTTTCTAAGCAAAAGATTCTTTCTTTTTCTCTAGATTTTAAGATGAGAAAATTTTAGGGTTTGTTAAAAACTTAGAAATTCTTAGGGAAACTTGGAAGGAATGTTAGGGAAGATATTTTAACGGTAAAAATAAAATTTTTTCCTAATTTTTATTAAGTTAGAAAAATTAGGGCTTTTTCATATTATTGAAATTTTAAGATATTTCTTGAGGAGCAATGTTTCAAATGATCATAGGAACGTTTGTAAAGACATAAATTAGGGTTTTCATACAAAATGTCAATTTTTATAATTTTAATTTAATTTAAATCCGAAAATATATTAATTCAATAATTAATTATGTGTAAGGGAAAGTTCAGCATGTTTATATGAGGGAATCAATGAAAATGGGTTTTCCAAATTTAGGGTTTTAGGTTAAATACGAAAATAGAAATTATTTTGAATTATTTTAAGTAATGGTAAAGGGATTACTTGGATTAAAAATGAATTTTTAGAATATACATGCCTTATGTTTTAAATTTGAGAGAGAAAGAAAGAGAACCTTTAGAAGTTTTATAGGAGTAGATTCATTAAATTTGAGAAGATTAGCTTTAGCCGTTGAATATTAAAATATTTTCTTATAGGTGTAAATTGTTGTGATCTTGAAGGAAGGACTAGTGAAGAGAATCATTTTACCCAAATTCATGTAAGTATACATGATTCTTTATTTACAGTAATGACTTTTGTTTCTCTCAAGTTATATGATTTGAAAGACTAAACATGTTTATAAAATATTGTCAATTTAGATAACAATTATGTTATTTTTGTCCAATGATTGATCATGCAATTTATATGTTACATCTTATGACATTATTATACAAAGTTCATATGTTATAGAAATGAGATGAAATGAGATGAAATGAGATGATATGATTATGATATGAGTGTTATATTGAGTGATTTCTTGTGCATGCTGAATTGATGGAACTCACCCGCTTATGGTACTAGCTGAGGACGTTGTACTCGTGCACGTTAAAATGGTAAAGGATATGAAAAAGAAAATGGTAAAGGTGTACCTTTATGGTACTAGACAGTGGCTCCTGTGACGGTTATAATATATATGAAATGAGAAAATTACAAATATTGATATGAATATGAATATGAAAGATATGGTTTTATGATATAAGATATGTTTAATTAAATGAAATGTGGCATCTAGCATATTATTCATTTTGCCTTGATTATTGTAGTTTAGAATCATGTTTTACTTACTAAGTGTTGGCTTACTATTAGTTGTTAATATTTTTACCGGAAATGTCTACCGTAGACGTGGGGCTCAAGAAGAAAGATATCTATGTTTATTATATTAGTTTATAGATATTTTGAAGTTTAGTGGCTCACTCAAATTTATTGAGTTAGTTTTAAGGAAATTAAAATTTTGATCTGCCATCTGACCATCCGTTCCCACCTCGCCTATGCGAGCTAACCGGGCCAGATCGTGACAAACATCACCTACCCATCGGATCGATGTGCGTGATGTGCAAGTCAACCACCTATACATGCTTTTCTTAGCGTGTTATGAGGGAACCCAGTGCGACACATGGGACGAGGACAGGATTTTAGGTTTGAGAGCTGCTTATCTGCCATGTTGCAGGTGTCGCAGCGGGTTTTCTCCTACCACGCTAAGAAAAGTGTGTATAGATGGTTGACCAATGCATCACGCACACAGAGGACATGATTTCAAGTTCGAAAGCTGCTTACCTGTCACATCGCAGGTGTCATACAAGGGTCAAATGCCCAAACCCATACTGCTATTATATGTCGGATACCGCGTATCTATGAGTATAAACAGTTGGATTGTACACACCGGGTAGGTGATGTTGAGAAGTGTCGTAGCTTTTAGTTTGAAGATCAAGGCGAGGCCAGATGTCGTGACTTCCGATCCGATTGAAATGGAAGGAAGCGGCACTGCAGGATTTCAACTAGCCTCGCCTTGCTCTTTAAGCCGGAAGCTACGACACTTCTTAA